CCGAGTGCTGGGATTAAAGGCGTGCGTCACCAACACCTGGCTGAGTAATGTTTCTTCTACGAATGTGGATGCCTTTGTATTTGGGGCAAAGGTGATCAGAATTGAGCCTTCATTCTGATGGATCTTTCCTGTGATGCATATGAAATGACCTTCTTCATCTATTTTGATTGACTTTAGTTTGAAGTCTAATTTGTTAGATATTATGATTGCTATACCAGCTTGTTTCTTGGATCCATTTGATTGGAAAATCTTTTCCAAACCCTTAAATCTGAGGTAATACCTGTCCTTGAAATTGAGGTGTGTTTCTTGCATGCATCAGGATTTATTCTGTTGTTGTATCCTTTCTGTTAGCCTGTGTCTTTTTATAGGTGAGTTAAGACATTAATATTGATGGACATTAATGACCATTGATTGTTAATTCCTGTTTGTTTTGGATTTGTTGTTGGTGATGGTATTGTGTGTGGATTCCCCCCTCCCCTTTTTCTTTTGGCTGTTGGTAAAGTGGGGTTATCTATTGCCTCTTTTTTTTTGTGTGAGTGTAGTTAACTTCCTTGGGTTGGAGTTTTCCTTCCAGTACTTTCTGTAGGCTGGATTTGTGGATATGTATTGTTTAAATCTGGTTTTGTCATGGTTTATCTTGTTTTCTCCATCTATAGTGATTGAAAGCTTTGCTGGGTATAGTAGTCTGGGCTGGCATCTGCAGTCTCTTAGTGTTGGTGGAATATCTATGCAGGACCTTCTGAGTTTCAGAATTTCCATGGAGAATTCTGGTGTAATTCTGATAGGTTAGCCTTTATATGTTACTTGGCCTTTTTCCTTTGCTCCTCTTAATAGTCTTTCTTTATTCTATATGTTTGCTGTTTTGATTATTATGTGGCAAGGGGCCTTTTTTGTGGTCCAGTCTATTTGATGTTCTGTAAACTTCTTTTAATTTTATTGGCATGTCTTTCTTTAGGTTGGGAAAGTTTTCTTCTATGATTTTGTTGAATATGTTTTCTGCACCTTTGAGTTGGGTTTCTTCACCTTCTTCTATACTTATTATTCTTAGGTTTGGTCCTTTCACTGTGTCCCATATTTCCTGGATATTTTGTGTTAGCGATTTGTTGGACTTAAGATTTTTTTTTTTGGTCAATGAATCTATTTCTCCCAGTGTATCTTCAACACTTGAGATTTTCTTTTCCATCTCTTGTATTCTGTTGGTAATGGTTGCATCTGTAGTTCCTGATTGTTTACCCATCTTCTATTTCCAGCATTCCTTCAGACTGTTTTTTTATTGTCTGTATTTCAGCTTTCAAGCCTTGCACTGTTTGAATTATTTCCTTTATTTGTTTGGTTGTGTTTTCTTGGCTTTCCTTATTTTCTTTAAGAGATTTGTTTCTTTCTTGCAATTTTTGGTTTGCATTTTCCTCCATTTCTTGAATTTTTTGTCTTTTCTTCCATTTCTTTAATGGGTTTTCTCATTTTCTCTTTGAGTGTCTCTATCATCTTCATAAAGTTCTTTTTAGGATCATTCTCTTCTGCTTCATCAGTGTTGGGATGTTAAGGTCTTGCTGGTGTGGCGTCCCTAGGCTCTGGTGGCTTCATATTGTTCTTCTGTTGTTGAATGTGTTCTTATATTGTCTTCTTCCCATCCCTTCTTCCAGTGGGTGCCAATGGAGTCTCTCCCTTTTTTGGTGGGTAGGGTTCCAAGGTTTTCTTCCAGTGGGTGCAAGCAGGTCCAATACTCTGATGGCTCTCCTCTTCCCATGGGTGGAGGCTGTAATAGCACCATGACTGCAGACTCTGGATGGCCTGGTCCACTGACAGGTTCCCCTGTGCACAGTCCCCAGGCCTCAGGAGGCTCTGAGTAGGGCTCTGGAAGGTGGGCTGGAAACAGGTCCATGTTTACCTCCTCTTGTGGATAGAGGTTGGACTAGCAACAGGACATTGGCAGTCTCTGGATGGTCTGGTCTGCTGGGATGGGTTTCCCATGCACAGTTCCCAGACCTCAGGAGGCTCCGAGCCTAGTCTGAACATCCTAAGAAATATTCTATATTTCTGAATTTCTTTCCTGACGTGTAATTGCCTTGTGATTTGTTACCCATGGATAGTAGTTAAAAAAAATCTGAACACAGACTATATGAGAACAGCTATTACATCATTGGTTAGTCCCTGTGGTTGGGGGTATCAGTCCATTCTGTCCTTCCTGTTAGAGATCCACACTACTTTCGAGTCATCCTCTCACAGATGGCAGGCCATCTGACCCAATTCAAGCACAGGTAGAGATCAGGGTTGTGCACAGTACACAGCTGGGCAAAATACAGCCCAGTGTGAGGCTGGCTGTTTGGTTGCTATGTGATGAGTTCTCTTATGGAGGAAACAGGCCCAAACATCTTTTACTAGGTTCATAATGCCCTAACAATGGTATAGTGATGTGTATTTGATATGGTTAACACATTGTCATGGGCTTGGAGCATCACATTTTAATGTTTTTTTTTAAAAAAGATTTATTCATTTTGTATACAGTGTTCTGCCTGCATATATGCCTGCATGTCAGAAGAAGGCACCAGATCTCATTATAGATGGTTGTGAGCCACCATGTGGTTGCTAGGAATTGAACTGAAGACCTCTGGAAGAGCTGCCATTGTCCTTAACCTCTGAGCCATCTCTCCAGCCCCATAACATTTTAATATTAAGGAATACTTGATTTGGCCATTTTTTTGTTATTGTTTTTTTTCAGACAGGGTTTCTTTGTGTAGCCCTGGCTGTCCTGGAACTCCCTTTGTAGACCAGGTTGACCTCCAACTCACAGAGACCTACCTGCCTCTGACTCCTGAGTGCTAGCGTTAAAGCTGTGTGCCAACAGGCCTGGTAATTTGGCCATTTTTGGATATCATATACACATTCACTCATTCAATAAGTACTTATTGTATGCTAAAGAATGTCTGAAGACCAATGCAAGACTTTTTTCATAGACATCTCTGTTACTAATTGGACTGTGAATCCCTTCTAAAGCAGGACTACATCTTCTTCATCTTTCTGTCTCCAGGCATCCTATAGAAGGCACCCAGCCCATGCAAAAGGCACACACCCACCGCACGTGTGAAAAACAGGCTGTAACCAGGTCAACTGTTTATGCCTGTGGCCCAGATATTCATTTGTAGGTCTTAGTCAACTTTCATGTTAGAATTTAAGCACAACGAGAATGCAAATGCCTTCTCCCTGAAGAATACGTTTGACTGCAGGATGATGCTAGACCTTTTGCTTAGATTAAATATATAATTCATATGCCTATATAAAAAGAAGATGAAATCAACAAACAGAAACTCTGCAGGGACTCGCCAGTTTCTGAGTGTGAAAATAGCAATTTAAAAGAGGACTCCTCTCTGTCTCAGATCCTCTTTCAGGCAGCCCAAGGAAACGAGGAAAGAAATCCAAACACATAGAAGGTTTTAGGGCTGAACATTCTGATTCAGTATGTTCTGCTATGAAGTATTTGGCCTTGTTGGAGCGTTTCCTGCTCCTTTGTGTTCCCAGTCTGTGCTTCATGGTGAGAAAAACAAATAAGTTGGCAATGTGCAAAATGTTCTTTTCAAGTGTGTGGCAGCGGATTTGGGAAAACACATATTAAAGGGGCATCTTGTAATGTTAGCCCTTTTCCAGAGGCCTCTCTCAGTCAGTTTGGTCCCATATTTATCGTATTAAGGACCTAGCTTACTGGGAGCGAACACTCTGAAGACCCTCTCAGAGCCACCTAAGATAAGTACCTTATTTCACCATGCTCTCAAAGGAAATCTCTTTTCTGCTCTGTCTTTTTGCATGTGTGTGGTAAAGTTCTAATTGGACAGTTTTATGACAGAGGCATACAATCTCCCAATTTCTTATTTGCTTGAATGAACTTTTTACAAGCTGAGGTGTTCACCGTGGCATGGGCTTATTCCAGACTCTGTAGTCAGCGCACAGTCTGTGCCTCACAAAGGCTGGCATCCCCCACTGCCAGCTCCTACCTTTATCCGTGGGGTAATGCGTTTTAATTGCTACCTCTCTGAGAGCCCTTACATCTCCGTCTGGTCAAATAGATAATTTTTTTTTAAAGATTCAGCTCTAAGGTCTTGACAGTTAACAAGAGGATAGACTCGCCACAAAAGGCAATCTTTAAGATCATAAAGAACCCTCAAATTGGAGCAGAAGGTGCAGGAAACAGTGCGTTCACCTCAATATTGTTGCATTGACTGAAGGAAAGCAGGCACCTGCCCCATTGAGCATGGAGCTGTGCTCAGATTCACTAACAGTTACTTTTTAGCAAGGTTGGTAGACGAAATTCCTTGGGCGGCAGAAAAGGCAAGGGATGGTGAATGGTGAACTTGGTTAGCAACTGGTTGCTGCCAATTAGCAGTGTACAGGACTTGTTCATCAAGCAAGCACCATAAGGAATAACTACAAGACAATATGGACTGGGTGTTCAGTCCCTCAATTAGTGTGGCCTCAGCTCTTTGAGGCTCTGGAACACAGCTGGGCAGAATGCTTCCCCTAACCTTCAGAGTCATTTGGGTGAAATGGTTACTTTCATAATAAATTGTCTCTTTGTCCCTCCCTCCCTCCCTCCCTCCCTCCCTCCCTCCCTCCCTTCTTCCGTTCCTCCCTCCTTTCCTCCATCCCTCCCATCACTAGTCCTCCTTAAATACCGGAGATTGAACTTAGGACTTCATACTTGCTCTGCAAGCACTCTAACACAAATCCATCCCGATCTTGCTCTCTCTCGATAACCACAAACAGGTTAAAGGCTCTTCTCTCTCCTTTCTGTATCTCTCCCCTTCCAGCATCTGTTTTGCACAACCATCCCAGTGAGAAGCCTTTCTTAGTATGAGGCAGAGATCAGGCATGGCTCTGTGAAACAGTGCAGCGGCGGGGTGGGGGGCATTTATCAAGAAGAAGGCCAATTAGAGCCCCTGGGCTCACAGACCCCTGTGCATCTGAATGTGCACAGCTGTTTCTTCATAACAAGGGGCGGGGCTACTCACCGGTTGCCTTTTCAGGGTTGTTGCACATGAAGCATTGCCATGCCCCTGCTGTTTCGCTGAATCCAAACACATCAAAGAACCTCACTTCTTCCAGATGGAGCTGAACCTGGTCCAGGTCCTGTTTCAGGAACACAAAGAAGCACAAAGCAATGAGCACGCCTGCCTGCTCCAGCGCTCCTGACGCCAGGAGAAGGGGATGTGGAGTTGGAATGGCCGATGCTCACTAGCAGTGCCGGAACCAAGACGGCATTGAAAGAGGCTTTTCTTGGCCCAGCCTTGGAAAATAGTGCTTAGCGCACACTCTTCCATGGGATGGCTCTTCACTGTAGAGTGAGGGAACATAGCCTCAGGCCCAAGGCTTGGGGTGCAGGGAGAGACAGCAGAACTTGAGGTGGCTCAAAATTTTACTGCATGTGAAGCATCTCCAACGTTTCCATAAAGAAAGAAAGGCGCTGAGTGGCACTGTGGTTGAAGGAGATGCTGCTGGAGGAATGGCTCTATCTATGTCTGTCTGTCTATCTATCTATCTATCTATCATCTATATCTATCATGTATATATGTATCTATTGTCTGTATCTATCTATCATTTATTTATCTATTATCTACATCTATCTATTATCTATCTAATTTGTTTGTTTTATTTTTTGAGACAGTGTTTCTCTGTGTAGCCCTGGCTGTCCTGGAACTCACTTTGTAGACCAGGGTAGCCTCAAACTCACAGAGATCCACCTGCCTCTGCCTCCAAATGCTGGGATTAAAGGCGTGTGCACCACCATTACCTGGCTGAATAGCTTTATATTTAAATTGCATTTAAAACCAAGAACTAATTATTCATACCTAAAATACCATTTTAATAAGGTCACCTTTTTATTTTTTATTTTTATTTTTTTATTTTTTTTGGTTTATGAGACAGGGTTTCTTTGTATTGTTTTGGAGGCTATTGGTCCAGCCTGGCCTCGAACTCACAGAGATCCGCCTGATTCTGCCTCCTGAGTGCTGGGATTAAAGGTGTGTGCCACCACCGCCCGGCTAAGGTCACCTTTTTAGAGAGTGATGGAAAATACAGGGATGGGCTCATATGTCCTCACCTCCAGTACTGTTTAGCCTTATGATTTATCTTAGATCTGTATGCAGACATTGTCTTCTATCCCACAATACTGCAATGTTGGTTTTAGTGGGAAATCATCTCTGAAATTGTTTATTAGTAAACTAACCATTTTTTTGAGTAGATGAGTGGACTTTGACACACTAAGATGACTCACTTTTAGATGGCCTGTGACACCCTGCCCGTGCACACTTCTTTAGGAGGCAGAGATGATAAATGGTTCTTTAGACTGTAAGTAGATGGAAAACCATTAGCTTAATGAAAAGAAATTTCTTTACTGTCATGCAGAGGCTGTCTGGTTATGTAACTAACTTGTATCCAGTATTATCAGGCATCAGGACTGCACTCTTGAGAGCACAAGAAGGACTTGTGTTCTTGCTAGCCTAGCTTGTATGCACCCCTTCAGCGTACTCTGTGTGTGAGCACTGGTGTGCTGTGGCTTCACTTGCTTGCCTTTGGGTCTGAGCTTTCGTCTTTCCTACATGCAGTAATAACTCTTAGCATCTGGAAAGGCCAAGTGAGGCTTGGGGTGTTTGTATGGCTTCTGATGGACCAGAGTAGAGAAAGGGCAATGGGTTAATGCAGATCCTACCCCAGGGCAACTGGTTCTCCATTTGTAAACACAGATGAGCAGCATGCTAGACTCTGAGCCTTTTGAGACCTGAACTCAATCTGCTTTGATAACAGCTGCATCCCGAGTGCCTAGTATAGCCCTGGGAATGGAGTAGCATCATTGGTTTGTAGACCCAGTACAAACCCGTTTGCCAAAGAACTATATGCAAAGCGTAAAGGCAATTAAGAATTCTTTTTAGAGAATATTCATGCTCTCCAGAAGATAAGCATAGTGAGGACAGGAATGTTTGTCTGTTGCATTGGATGTTTGAAACCTCAGCCTCTGAAAGTGCTTGCCACAAAATGAGCATTATAGAAACCCTTCTAATGAAAACCATAGATCAGGCCTTTCAGCGTCTTTATTAAGACAACTGTGCTTTACAGTCTTGGATTAGACATTTTTGAGGTTTACTATGCTGGATACAGTATTTTGTATCTTTAACGTTAGAGGCATTCCAATAGTTCCTGCATATGTGTGTGTGCGCACACACATACTCATGAATGGATGTTGTTTTAACAAAATGATTTAGAATGTGTTTATTAGAAAAAAGATTGTTTTTTAAAAAAAAGAATGTTCCTCAAGATAAAGACCAAAGAAGCACCTGGGAGCTTTGTATGTTTCAAAGGATAAAATCCATATTAAAATTTATGGGGAGAAAGCAGATGTTCATAAATATCTGTTTCAAAACTGCAAGGTCTCTGAAGTCTGTCCGTGGCCATCGGCATGCAGATCAGTCTTTGTCTCTCACACAATTAGAGATCAGTTCTTCATCCCCCAGCAAACACTACTAGCAAACAAAGTGCTTAAATAACACGTAGAGCTTCCTTTATTTTTCCTGTTCTGAGACCAGATGTCCCAGGTTGTTGCCTATAATCCACACTTGCCTTGGCAAAAAGTTACTTGAGAAGTTTAAGACAGATGGTGGGCTGCATCCCAGTGCTTGAGTTCTGAAGCCAAGAGCAGGTTTAGCCCTTCGGAGGATTGAGGTGTTATGCAAAGGGATTGGAGTGGGGGAGATAGATGGTAGTTTTAAATAGACAGACGAAGCACATGTAATTTCAAATATCTGTGGAAAACCAAAGTAAGCCACCAAACAAGCAAGTGTAGTCTACCAGTGATAACTTTTGGGATTTGTATTTCTTAAATGTGCTTTGGGTCATTTTTTTAACTTATCTTTACCCTTGTGAGTCCTCAATTTTGCCCTAGAAATGACACATGGCCATACCTCCTTCCCCTTTCTTCCCTGCTTTCATTTTCTTCAAAACAAGAGAACTTGTTTTGAAAATTAGTTTAGAAAATTACAAACTTCCTTTCATATATCTAAACTACAGAAGAATTATAAAATAGTCCATATCTAATTCTCCATCCCTCTCTGGGTATTTCAGTTCTGATGGGATTGTGGCAGATGGGCCCTCAGATGACCTACCAACAATTTTCATTTCTCAGTGTTTAGCTGCTTGTATACTCCTTTGCCCTTGAGTATTGGAGGTTTCTAGGTCTTTTTAGATGGGGGCAAAGATGACAGAATATCAGTTTCATAACACACACACACACACACACACACACACACACCTTACATACATAAGATCCGTCTTGCTAGCAGATACCTACAATGAAAGGCTTTCCTACTGGCTTTGAAAAAGCAAGAAACTTGAGGAAAGAATGAGTAGCTTCTAGTAGGTAGCAAGAGATCAAGAACTGGGCTTGTCCATCAACAATAAGTGTTTTTTGCCAACACTCTGGTCTTTTGACTATTTTCAAAGAAAGATGGTCCTACTCAGAAAAGTCAGTCTCCCAGGTACCCTTCAAATTAGGTCTCAGTAAAACCTAAGCAACAATGAGCTCACATTGCTTATGCAGACTTAGGAAAGAGTTACATAATAATACCAGTAAACATGTTCTAAGAAGGATTTCTCTAGCAAGTAGCACCCAATTAAAAAGGCTAAGAAATCACTCGAGGAAAGATGGTCTTGTAAAACAGTTGTTTAGATGTTTGTCACCAAGTTTAGAAAAAAGTAATTAATGAAATGAAGAATCTGGAAAACCATAAGGAAGTCTCTTGTAAATTCACGTAGGGAAAAATAAACCAGGCAGCAGGGAAAGATGAGCAGACATTTACAACATTATTTCATTATATTCTGCAAAACTCTGTGTGTGTGTGTGTGTGTGTGTGTGTGTGTGGTGTGTAAATGGGGGCAACAGGTAGCTCAGCAGGCAGACACTTGAGTAAAGAGGCTTTCCACCAAGCTTGATGACCCGGATTTAACTCCTGGAATCCATGGTGGAAAAAGATAACCAACGCCTCAAATTGTTCCCTGACTTCCACGTGTGCTCATGACGTTCATGTCATGCCCTCCTCTAAGTACATAAATGAATGTGGTATTTGTTTTAAAGTGTGCAGTGGGCTCTGGAACTCAAACCATGGTCTGTGTGCTGAGAGGGAACTGTGAAGAGTCTTCTAGAAATCAGCCAAAGCATACATCTGGAAGAGCTTCGGCTTCTGGCACATTTAAATTCTGTTCCAAAGCTCTCCGTGCACAGAAAGAAAACATGGGCTTGCCTTGTGTGTTGTGTGTGTTTCTGGCTCCAGGACTTCTAGCCCAAAAGCCCAAGTATCTTATAATAAATAGAAATGAAAAATTTCAAGAAGTCGCTATTGTTCTTGCACATTAATAAGGACTCCATGCCTTAATTATTTCCTGAGTGCACACCCTAATTATATGCAGTCCCAGTTGTGAAATGAATTTACTGAGGGAATATAATCAGCAATTCATCTGTCATTGGTCAGGCACGATGGGAAGGAACACTATGTTGAGTGCACAGATTAACAAGAGACTTTAAAGAATGTGCCCCCCTCCCCAACTTAATCTTTCCATTCTTTTAGCTACTGAGAAACACCGCTGCTGAATTCAATTAATAAGACACAGTGTCAGAGCAGCTGGTGTGCCGGAGACTATGGATGAAGGCATGGAGGCGGCGTAGCTCTGCAGTCCCTAGAAGTGGGAGAGGATCCTGGAAGATGTCTCCCCACTGCTTGTGGTAAGCAGCTTACTACATGAGCTACTTAACTGTGTGGCTTTGAACCCTCCACCAAACAAAACCTCCTTCACAGGAAGACAGGCTTGAATGCTCTTTTGTCATTTTTGGAAATACGATGAATAGTGATTTGTCTGTAGAATACTTCAATGAATTGTTGTTTTACTACTTGAGGTACATAGATCTTATTTCTAAGGTATATCAATGGCAACATTTGGACTTCCTATTTTCATGTTTGCTTGAGTATACTCATTAAAGATGTACAAAGTACTTTTTCCTGTTTTCCAAGAAGTGGGTCTTGTAATGCTACCCAGGCTGACCTCAAACTCCTGCGCTCTAGAAATTCCGCCTTCTTAGCTAGGAC